CGCGCCCAGTCCTGCGCCCACCCCGTGTCCCCGCCTTCGCTCCGTCCCGCCGCGGCCCCCGCCCCGCTCCCGTCCCGTCCCCGGTCCTGCTCCGTTCCGCCGACCCCCCGCCCCTGCCCTTGCCCTGCCCCGCCCCGACCTGTTCCGTTCTGTCGCGATCTGCTCCGTCCCGTCCCGTCCCGCCCTGCCCTTCCCGAGACCCGCCGCGCCCCGTCCCGCCCCGTCTCGCCCTCCCGGAAGGGGTTGGCGACCTTTCGCGCTCGCCAAGCGAGGAGTGGCGCGGAGGGGTGGGGCGGTGATAGACCGCGCGCTATTGCGATAACTACAGTGCGCCTGGAAAGTCTCTCCCCAGTGGCGTCAGGGGCTTTTCTAGCTATTCAGGCGCCCATGGCAAGCATGGAATTTGCGCCTGACAGGGTACTTCACATTAGGGTTGTTATTATTTGCTCTTGTGAGTATACTCCAAATAGCGACCCTTCAGTGGCGGTCATGCTTCCTATGCCTGCCATACGACTCTGGGTGGCATCGTGATGGTGAAAGTGCTATCAACACAGCAAAAAGTATGTTGGTAGCACGAGCTGCAGCTTCTAACAAAAGAAAACGTGAATTGCGTACTCACCACAATCCAAAGAGATTCGGGAAGTGTTGTCCTCTTCACTTCTTTTTTCAATGATCTGGACCAACAAATTCAACTGTTAATAAGACACCCTCATTTGGGTCGGTGCGAAGAGACTCAAGAGTACTCAAGTTCAGGATGTGATCAATTCAGTTCGCAACTAAGCAATATATTATCGTGCGAACGTTTTTATTTGTTTTTGCAAGTGCTTTTAAAATTCAATGTTTTTCACGAGAACATTGAACAAAGTATTCTCTTCTAATTAGATATAAACGAATTCGTTGAGAAAAATAAGACTATTATAAAAATAATTTAAGTTGTATAAGTAAATTTGTTTTTATTTTATATTGATACAGAAGCAAGGAATATTGTGTTACCAGCTATGAATGTATCCTTGACAGTTTTACCACATATTTATAGAATATGGGCCTCGAAAAACGATTTTTTTTCTGGCTGATACAGAAAATTTGTTTGAGCTGCAAAATATGATTTATAAAGTTCTCTAGAAAATAATATATCTACCCTCTTTTAGTTATATTCGTTCCAAAATTGTTCCTTATATGTTATAAGAACAGTCTTTGCTGATAAAGTATTGGAATAATTCAGAATAAATAAAAGATGAGTGTGTTTTCCGCAATTTTTTTTTCATAATTTTTCAAATTATATTTTCTTTAGTTAGAAAAAAATTAATTTAAAGTACGTATATACTTAATAATACACAAACAATATTGTATTTCAAGAAATATTAACAAGTTGTACGTTAGTTCTTCAAAGCAAGCTTGTTGTGAAACTATGTCGAAAGGGGTTCGATGGGGGATGAAGCGGCATTTAACCCCGTTGCGTCGGCGAGATCCCGTAGTAATTAGAGCTGTTCGCACGCCGGCAGGCCCCTGTCATACATTATTAATGAGGAAGGTCTCGTGATAATGAGATGGTAACAAAGTGCCGGTGGTGTCCAGCAAGGCGCCGTTATCCCGTCAGGAATGTCGGGCTATCTCCCTAGTCACCTCCCGCTCGAGTACGGGCCCCCAGCCACTTACCACGCAATTCCTTGTCCTCGGGCCGCCAGCATGAAGTTCCCCGTCTCGAGTGCCAACCAGCGCTGCAGCAGGCCGCGATCCCAATTACAGAGCCCTCTGGTGGCGAACTCAGAAGTACAGACGCAGGTAAAGTGGAGAGAGCCACGATCGTATTGCGGTCATTGTGTTCTCTGGGGGGCCATTGAGGTTTCTACATAATTTACTCCTTGAATTAAAGTGAAGTTTCCAGCGACTTTATACGACACTTTGGGAGTAGTTTTTAACTGGGCAATTCACAAGTTGCATAGCTTTCGCAAAGCTTTAGCACTATCTATGAGTTTTATTGCGATAATGATTTGTCAGTGACAAGGCGGGTGGATATTTGAGGCACGTGTGCCTTCATAATAATACAAGAAATTACATAAATCCTAATTGACAATAACAAGGCACAGAAATCGTGTGTAGCAGTTAAGTGGATACCGCTTTCTCGTGAACAAGCGACTTATTTACAGGGGCATCTACAGCGGCTGTTAGTGATCTCGATACGAGGCCATGCAAAACATTCACAAACGCTTGAGATTTAGTTTACCAATTAAAAAAAATTGGTATTGAAAATTATTTGCCATTGGTAATTTTACATTGTGATAAGGTACAAAATTCATTTCTTTCATTAATTTACTGAAAGTTTGTTTGAAATTTTGTAAACAAGCAGGATTTTTCAAGACCACTTTTTGGAAGTTAATGTACTATGCAAAGCTAAACTAATAGCAAAACGTTTTTACTATAAATACTCACAATGTTTATAATGAGATCTTTGAAAGGTTTTGCGGTGAGTGGGGGTACAATGCACCGTGGAGCATTTCTTTGTAGTGCTATACAAAGTTAGCATATCTTTAATAACTACAAAGATCGAGTTACCTGGATCGAGATACCTGGTTCCTCGTTCTTTAAAATTCTTGATGTTTTATCACTAAAACATATCCAAGTTTTATTCTAAAACTTTCGGAGTTATTTTAGATTGTGCAGTTAGGTTGTTCTAAAGAGATCCTAGAACCTTTATGTTTACAGTTTATCAAAATTAGTATACTACTAAATATAACATTTAAAGACCAGTCTACGTTTAGTTATGTTATATATAACTTATGCTAATTGTATAACTATACATTTTTCAACAAATTTACATATAATGGCGGCAATACTCATGCCTGAACGTTTATTTATGTATAAAAATAACAAAATATGCAGCCAAAAAAGGTATCCTTGTGAGAGCTGTGGCTTGTGGAAAGCAGATGTTTCTCTTCCTTCACACATCCTTGTGAACAAAAAATGTTACGGAAATATGCTTTCAGATTAGAGATACTTTACGAATCACCCTTATCACGGAGGGAAACGGGTTCTCAGGGGCTGAAATCCCATAATGTAAAGGATGTCTCAAAATATTTCATTTTTTTAGATCACGACATGAAAAAGTAACTTAATGCGTTGAGCCTCGAAAACACTTTCGCGGTCTTGGAAAGTATTGTTATCTAGTTCTGCACGATCGATATCGAGAAATATCGTTAAGAGAACGTCAGTTCCATTTAAAAATAAGTAATTCTCGGATTACCAGGGTACTACGAATAACGTAAAAAGTGGTACTGGACTTATAAATTTACTAAATATAATTGCGTTTGTTCTCTTGATCTGTCGTTCTTGACTATCAATATCACTTCCTTCCTGGTGGGGGTTTCAACGCACTATGGGCTAGCACCCAATCGGTCCCGGGGTGAAATAGGCTGAAGGCATTTGCTAAAACATACTTCTGATTAATTGTGGTGATGAGTCACAAATACACGAATACATATTTTTGATAAATTGAATGAAATTAAACAAGTTACAAATAAACGAATTTGAATTTTTACTTTTAAATGAAGATTCTAAAAAAACCAAATTTTTCCATAATTTCATTATAGTCAGTGAGGCTGTTATTTACACCGGAAAGTGGAAATATAAGTAAGGGCAAATGGTAAAACACATTTTTGTAATAGAGTATATTTTAATAAAATTCCAATAGTCTTGAAGACAAAACATCAAATGTTGATAATACATTAAGAGAACAAAATATTTAATACATGCTGTTGACTAGAATGTATCTACACTGAGCGTAACATTTGATTCTAGATAAAACTTTATACAATTATTAAATTGAAAGAAGGCACTACTCCAGAACCACCACGACCATCATCACAGTTCTTGACGCAAACCCTCTTCTCCCAGCCTCTGTATCCAGCTCCAACTTCCGCAAATTTATGATATGAACGGAGCAGAACGATCATTCGTTGCCGTTTTTCGAAGTTTCACCGTGGCGAAGACATTTGTTCTGTAAAAGTAAACGTGAAAATGATTTAACTAACTATAGTATGTTGCACGTTACATAAATTGTCAGACTTCAGAAATTGTCAAATGAGAAGAAAAAGCGGTTATACTTAGCGGTAATAAAATAATTTGTGGTACAGAAAACAATGAAACTTTCATGCCTTAATACTGTATTGATTATACAATTTGCTCATTGAACTATCAGCTTACGAAAATCACAATATGTTTGTCAATCTTCTTTCGTACGAAATTGTACACAAAACCTTCAGAAAGAAGCAATCGTTATGACGTGTCATATGACCACTCAATCAATACCTACAGAAAGTCTAAGTATTTAAATTTATTTAAAATTCTAATTGATAGGCAAGTCAGGTTTCAAAATTAGTGAGTTATAACAATGAGAAATAAGATATAACAATGACGAAGTTATAAAAGAAATTCGAAGGTGAGGTGTTTCACATATGATTAAAATTCATTACGAACTTTTGTGCTCATGTTTCATATTACTATGGATTTGAGAATAGAATTATATTGTGTGTAATGTACACACATAAATAATAAGGATAGAAAATAACTCCTAAAACACTACAAACTACTGAGTGTTGTATAAGAAGTTTATTTTAGAACCAAGTTTTACTGCTAATTTACTATTTGTTTAGAAATAAATAGTTCGGCAACCAAATAGTCTTACAAACCATAAATATGTCTTGAAATACAAAAATATATAATTAATGTAGATAATTAATAAAAATACTAAACAAATTTCAATAAATTGACACTCAAGATATTGGTGGAATATTTTGTGTCGACGAGCTGCGGTGCATCAATTACTGGCCTCATAAATATTAAATGTAATCGTAGACTTTCGCGGCCAGTTATGTGAAGGCTTTGGGTGACTCCGCATCGAGGGCAGTGATGCCAACTTTTGGACCATAGTATCGTGGTCTTCTTCAGGGCTAGAGTGCGCCGGAAGGTGAGGGCTTAGGTGTGTAGCTGTGCAGGGCACGGCTCGATCCGGGTTTGGATGTCACGCAACAGTCTGATCTCACCCCCTCTCGACATCACCATCCGGTCCCGCCCGATTAGCTGGCTAAGCAGGCAACCATATCCCGGGCCCTACGCAGCCACACAGTACATAAACCCGAGCGCACCTTCCTGAAGCACTCCAGCCCTGACGAAGACGACGATACCTTACTAAAGATACCTGTGTATGAATGTACTTGACGCGACAGCCCGTAAACGGGCTCAGGCCTACCGGCGACGTACCTGCCTCGCGGCCATGGGTAAAGGGGTTACGTGTGGTTACACAGACATCCCCACGCCGTATTCCGATCTTCTCAACCTGAGAAGTGAATTTTCCCATCGTCACACAGCAACATATACTTGGGAATTGCAAGGAAAACGCGCACTTGCCTCAATCGAACGCGGGACCGCGTAGTGGAACGCGAGCGCACTGACCAACTAGCCACGAGGTAATAAAGAAACCTATCTCCCCCATAATACCCTCCTGCTAACAAAATAGCCTGTCTACATCCTAGGAGTAAGAAATTAACCCGTCTTATCATATTCAAATACCCATCCATTCCTTCCCGTTTCCCATACGCCATTCTCTATCAGCAGTTCCTATGGGGTATAGCAAGACAGTAAAAGTGTTTTCTCCACCATGTTTGTATTACATTTATGCTGACGAGTTCATTTCCTGCACATGAAGCATTACTAAACACACACATACTCAAGACCACGATACGATCGGCATCACTGGCCTTGCGGCGGCGTCTCCCGTCCAGCCGAGCCAACCACCGCCTCCGCACGACCAGTGTCGTGTTCGCCTCACCTGACGCTGTCGTCGTCGGAGTAGTCGACCTCTGGCTGTGGGGGCGTCTCGTTGCTGAAGCCGCTGTCGTTGCTGCTGTGCAGACTGGGGCTGCCCGCGGCGCCCGGCGCGCCCCCGCGCTTGCTGCTGCCCAGCAGCGAGGGCAGCGGCGGCGATGCGGGCGGGCGGCGCGTGCGTCGCCAGGCGGCGCGCCTCGGGGCCGCCCCCCCGCCGCCGCCCCCGCCGCCACGGCCCCCGCGCCCGCCCGGCGCCCGCCGCCGACCCGAAAGCACCGCGGACCGGGCACCGGCGCGAACGGGTCAGCGTGCGGGCGGCCCGCCGACGCCGACGCCCCCGCGCACAGGCGCGCCTGCGAGGAAACACTTGGGCTTATTCACAATGCACACGTATACATAAGCACAAGTGCATAGTCATTAACATAAGTCAAGCATTCACAATGTCTAACATAAACGTAAGCAAAATAACAGTTTCTATTGGGTGTGAGACATGCTGGTTGCGTAGGCTTCCACGGCCGGAGTTAATGTTGCCTGGGCTATCCGGGACGAGCCGCGTCACTGACATGGTAGCTAACGTTTCGGCCAGCGTAATGTGGCTTTCTTCAGCAGTACTCTCTGAAGAAGGTTGACGCGGCTCGTCCCGGATAGCCCAGCCAACGTGAGACATGCTGGTTTACTATTGGTTGGATGTGAGAATCGATTTGAAGGTATCGACTGTGTCCATGGTCCATATGGCGTTTGTTCTTCTATCGACTTCGCTCCATTTTCGATTCTCGATTTTGAGTTACCGTTCTGTGACTGGTTAATTTCTTATGTCTTACTTAAGCATAAGCACAGAAGCTTGAAGCTTGGAAGCTTGGAAGTTAACGTCTTACGTGTTACGCTTATGCGAACGCATAGTGAATGAGTTAGCTTGTGGACGTGGTCCTAACTTTTATGTTCACGCCATGCTGATGTTTATGTTTGCATTGTGAATGGACCTTTACAGCGGAATTTTGTGGCTGCGCCATGCTCCTCACAACAACAGCCAGCGCACCTTGGCGCTCGTTAAAATGGGGAGTATAGTGTAACTCAATAAAAAAAAGGTCTTAAATAATAAATGCTACATATATAAGGTGTAAGAGGGCGCCTTACATTATATTGTTAGGCGGAGTCTAAAGTACAAAACAAAACCAAAAATGTTACATATAAAATTGGTTACTTTGTAGGTTTGTACTCATATTTTATTTCAAGTTAATGTAATTGTTCATACCTTTGAAAAAACAATTTTTGTCGAACAAGGATTTTTTAAACAACTAAAATTATTGCTCAAGTGCATGTATACTAAGAGAGCATGAGTCAAAAAGTACTTGAGAACTCTTTCAATGAATCTTATGATGCAGGAGTAAAGATTATGGATATTATTACCGTTAAAGTGAATGGATATTTATACTGTTCAAGTGATATACAAAATTAATTATTTCAAGAGTTAAACAAACAAACCACAGCCTTCTCCTCAATAAGATGATAAAATGTTTCTTATGGAATTTTGATGAGGAATACGTCGCTGCACATTAGATTCATGACTTTCTTTAATAACGTCCAGAATATTTTCTTTAAATGAGTCGATGCTCTGATAATATTTCTACGTGTCACAAAGGGGGAAAAATTACCTTTTTCTCGAATTCAAACGACAAGAAACGACGTTTTTTGAATTAACAGAGTTGGGGTGCATGTTACGACAGCCCTGCATCACACGCAGCCCTGAAATCACGTCAAACCTTGCCAGCTGGCCGTCAGGATAACAGTTTGCAATGACTTCCTGAACTCACTCTAACCTTCATCAGCGCTTTGGGTCTTCGAAATACTCACGAAATTTTCGGTGACTGACTGAGATTCGAAACTAGAAAAATTCAACAAATCTTCGGGAATCTGTACTTCCGAGACCAAAATGATAAAGGAATATTATTAATTTCTATTAATATGAGGATCACGCTGATGTGTTATTTCCTCCTAAATTGGCACATGCTATGTTGATCATGTAGAGAGTAACATAACATAGTAACATAGGATAAACAAAATAAAGGACAGGTAACTCATATTTCGCCATTATGTTTTTACGTCACGATTTATTATTACTAAGTTTTATTAGTAAAAAGAGGTAGAATTTTGTACCTTCAGCTCAACGTGTTTCGTGTCAAATATTTCGCATTGTCAGATATTTTCCAACCACAAATACCCTTTTTAGTTACATAGTTTTCGTCGATCAATGTGGCAAAATGCACTGTGCTGTCAAAGGGGTGCGGAACACAAATCAAAACAACTCGATTTTGGAGCGGAGAGAACAAAAGGGCAATAACACGTGTCCGGTCGACTTAGGACAATGGAGCGTCGATATGGAGGCAAAGCAAAACGTTCAATGACTAGACAAAGGAAAAGCGTTCCAAGTGATAGAGTTCCCACTGACAAAAAGCTATTCGTTATGTAGAAGAATAAAATGAATTTCAAGTGATATATTGGTTCTAGTATTATATGCAAAAACAAAATTCATAACAGCAGTGGGGGAAAAGAAAGGTGAACTCTGAAAGGTGATTTCAAAACATCAACATGCTCTTATCAAAGATTTTCACGCGTTTATTTTATCCACCCCACTGAATACATACAGCATTCAAGATTGCAAAATGTTGGGAAATGTTTCGAAATCAGCAAGGCGCATTAATGCCATCCTAGATTTATGACATTCTATAAAAATAAAGGCCCACTAAAAGCAGGAAATGAAGATTAATAACAAAGCATTTAATTGAAAAGATATTGTGCGTTTAAACACACTAAAACACCCATTAAATTGGCCGGAATAGATTACAAAGAGGTTTTTGTAAAAAACAACAATACACATTTATTTATAATACTTCCTAAGTTTAAATAAATAAACAATGAAGATAGTTCTAAATAACATGTTAATACTAATAATGAGCTAAATGAGAAAACATTGGTCGTAAAACTATAGAAGTATTTTGAAAATATAAAAATACTTTTAAAGAAAAATGTGAATATCCATTTATAATATTATTAATAATTCAAAATGTGGCGGGTTTACTAGTTAACAATTGTGTAACAACGTTGTTAGTAGACGTTAACGGATTCATGCTAAATTTCTTCAGCAAATTTTGGCATTTATAGTATCTTCAGGATATTATAAGAGAAAATATTTCAACATTTTTAATGAAATGATTTATTATTTTTTGTAAATCATAAACTAAGCATTTATCACAAAAGCAAATCTTGTACTAACTTCGCCATTTTGAAAGACTTTTGAAATTTAAACATTTTATGTGGATTTAATTTGGAAATAAATTAACCTATATAGGATTACACCAACAAAATGAAAGATATGATATACGGGCTTATATACCACTAATAATGTTCAAAGAGCTGGTAGAAGTAATGTACACAATGCATTTTTTCTTGATATTCGGAGACACAAGCTGAGCCCTACTTGTTTGGAAACATTCCCAAACGTCAGGGTCATTGAACGAGGCTGATAACGTGAATCCGGCTGTTTTTTTCCTATTCACTTTTACTTTGCATTGAGACTTGATTGATTTTATAAGCGTCATTTTTTATTTTCCAACTGGTTAACGATTCAGATATATAATACTTTAATCTACCGTACACTCATTCTGAAAAGAGACTCGAAATGTTGAAAATTTCCCGAATAAATTTGTGACCAGACGGAAGAATCACGCAGATCTAGGGCCTGCAGACCCGTCTACAATACTTTGCGCAAAAAAACAGGGATGTTCACAATAAAGCAATATCTTGACTTCCTAGACCATTGGACAACCCGGGAGTTCAGCCAAGTGCTATCACATATTTTGCGAAACAAAGCGCAGAGCTCCAATAACTATCAGGACGACCCCAGCTTCATCGCCCTACATTTGGTTGATCTCTATTTCCAAACTCCTGTATTTAACTATTATTGATATTGTTATTGTTATTGTTATTAATATTGTTATTATAATTATTGGCATATAGGCCATAACTGACCACGCTACACGATTAACGTGTGTAATTTTCCCAGGATCAGCATTTCAGTTGTCTCCCTCTGTACGACAAGGTTGTTACGCTTTGAAGTATGAATTATGAGATGATGGGATTATAATGAGTGAAGGGACAATCACAAATACTACCATGTATGCGCAGGACTCGGGCATGTAGCCTCCTTGCCAACTTTATTGTTATTGTTACTATTACTACTATTACTACTATTACTACTATTACTACTATTACTACTATTACTACTATTACTACTATTACTACTATTACTACTATTACTACTATTACTACTATTATTATTGTGATTGTTGTTATTGTTATTGTTATAATTATTACTCAAGTCGCAATTGAATCAATATATTGAAATGAGAAGCAATTGTGCGAGGCTGAAGGGCGCGGGACGCACCTTTCGCGAGGCGCCGCGCAGCAGCAGCGCGTCCCCGCAGAGGGCGACGGAGGCGGGGCGCGGGGCGTCGGCGGCGCCCTTGGCCGCCAGCGCGCACAGCTGCGCGGGCTGCGACGGCGACAGCGCCAGGGCGGGGGCGAGCCCGTGGGCGGACGCGGTGGATGCGGAGCACGAGGACGAGGACGACGCCGACGACGAGGGCGCGGGCGACGGCGAGGGCGCCGGCGCGAAGCAGGCGCCCGCCAGCGCGGCGGTGGGCGTGGCGGGCGTGGTGGCGGCCGAGCACGCCCAGTCGCCGCCCGACGCCCGCTGCGGCGACCTGCGGCCGGCACAACGCCAAGTGCTTCTCGCGTGAGCAAATTACAGGTTTGACACAGCTCTAGCCTTACATGCATTGCTGCTGTTACAACGATTGTACACATCCACAACGTAATTACAACATGTTCATACTCAAGCATAACAATTCAAGACTACGGGGTAAGAACATAATACGTCACAAGTCCACTTCTTTTCAGGAGAGAATTTTTAAAACTCAAAACACTCGTTACTTCCCTGTCCGCCTCATTTTTGAAGGGTTAAGTCTCTGCTCTCAATACGCTTTCAGAACCTCTGACAAAATCATGCTATAGTACTCCTTTACAACCGCCAGAATCACGAAATTGACTGTTTTGTGACTCGTACACGTAAGCTTCCGCGGGTCGTGTTCATGACTTCTCGGCTGTCCGGGTGACGTCCTCGGCTGACGTCGTTGGTTGAGAGGCCGACCTTCCGCCCGTCAAGTCGCAGGCTTCCTCAGGGTAGAAATAAACTTAGGAGGCCTGCGACATGCAGGCGAGACGTCGGCCTCTCAGACAACGACGCAGCGTCACCTGGGCAGGCAAGAAGTCCTGTTTTGTGACTAATCATGTTCGTCCCCTGTAGTCTTCAATTATTATTATTCATTCAAAAATAGTGAATTAATTTAATATAATATAGATAAACAGTAATGTAGTGATTCCTGGCAAAAGCTATTTTTCGTCTTTTAATGATGTAAATTAAGTACTTAAGAAATGAGTTACGTGCAAAGATATCAAAACAAAAAAATTGCTTGTTTTGACTTCGATGGTCATAGCTAGTCGAAACGATTAAGACTCTTGACTACTGCGCTTCTAGTGAGCCCTGCTTGTGGGTGGTCTCATTACAACGGAAGAACACAAGAAAGGTGTTATTTGCGAAATCCCTCTTCACAGTCGTGGATTACTATAAAAACTGTTTTTCATTCTGTGTGGTCATTATTTTGTTGGCCGAAGATCAATAAACATTCAATCGTTTTACACAAAGCTATTAATTGTCCTGGTACTTACGAACATACCACTAAACGAGCACAAGTCGACAAGTCTGTACTGAAAATGCACAGTTAATCAATGTATAGCACTAAGTAGTGTGAAGGAATGAGATTGGCAGTCACATGTCCCTGTACATTTAAAGTAAGTGCAAACATTAGCTTACCCCACAGTGAGTTCATCCATAATCACTTCTGTGTAGGCGAGAGGGAACCACCCACTGTTCTGCGTGCGAAGGTTCTCTCCAAACTGCCAGCCTTTGTTGCGTTCACCTGCAACAATTCATTCAACTGCAAATCCGTACAAACCTCAGGCTTCACAACAGACTTGGTTCAGAGTGAACCGTTGGTATAAAGATATAAAAAATCCATCTCCCCAATTTGTGTAATGAATCAGTTTGCATTACAAATTAAACAAGTTATTTTAAAACATGTACGATATCTTACCTTCCTTCTACGAAACAGACTACCTGAAGTGACTTTTAATATTGTATGTGAAGGATAATATAATACGTAACATTGTATACCCTGCTATCCTGACAGATCTCGTTATGAGTTTGGTGAGGCTAATTGGTACTTTTACTGAAGTTCCATTTAGACGGCAAGAAAATACTGTACATTTAGCGTTTCAGAATAATATATTTTAATATAAGAAGAGCAATTGCTCTACGAGAAAAAATACAACTGTTTAGCACGTATGATAAGAAAAATAAAATTAGATTATAGAAACGATGATCATAACGCAAAATTTCACGCGTCGTTGTAACGAAGAACTGCAAATTTAATTAAAACTTTTTGTAAAAACTTTGTGGAGACTTCGTACATATTCGAGGTCATTCTCTTTAGCCAACTTATATTTACACAATTTTATAAGAGATATACTAAATAATATGGGGAGTGCTGTAGGTCATTTCTGAAAACCTCTATACCGTTGATAACAGATTAACTACCTCCGGATATCTACCGGATTATGAAGTAGTCCTAAATTTCGTAATGAACCAATTCAATGATCCGTAGACGTCTACCGTGTTAAAAGAACTATATACCATATAGACTATATACCATATAGACTATATACCATATAGACTATATACCATATAGACTATATACTATAAAGTCTTTTAATAAAATTATTAAGACACGGCGATGATCTTAAACAAACGAGTGAATTTGCTGTCGTCAGACTCGAATCTGACGCTCCACTGTGTTTACCATTAAAAAGAACACTGAGGTGTGGCGTGCGCCGTACCTATGAGCGCGATGACGTCGCCCTCGAGGAAGCTGAGCTGGTTGTCGCCCGACGAGAGGTAGGCGTAGAGTGCGCGCGCCAGCAGCGGCTCCGAGGGCGGCGCCAGCGACTTGTGGCGCGTGGGCGACTCGGCCACTGCGAAGCAAGAGCCCGCACCTCGCACACCACGAAGGCAAAGCGCGACACAAGAACGCTCTTACACACCATACAAAACATTCACGGTTCGGTAAGTTCTTACGAATTAAGTGACATCGCGTAAATCTGAAAAAAAAATATTTTTCTGATTTTATAACGCATTTTATCTAACGTAAATTGCCCATTTTAATTGGTATATTTTCGAACTCATTTGAGAAACAAACAATAAGCTTCCCCCTAGTTTTTTGGAAACAATACTATCAATATTGTTAACCCGAAAGGAAAGTTGTAGGTACTTACTATCTATCGAAACGAACCTGTCGAAATAACACAAATTTCTTTTTTTTTATCAAAAACAATTGATTAAAAATCCATGTGTTGTGTAATATTAAAAATATTTGTTCTAATAAATGGTGCTCATTTGTATGTCCTAACAATATTTAACCTATTTCTGATTAATATATTTAATCGCCGCAAGGGGTATTACTAAACACCAACAATCATCATATAAGAATGGCACCTACCTGTTGGAGGACGTCCTCGCCCTACATGCGAATACAAGCAAATAAAGCAAACGAGGATCAGTGAAGAAGCAAGAAATCAACTTTCTTCACCTCCCTTTCAGAGGAGCTGGACTGTCCGGTGATTGCGGCGTTCACCACGCGAAATGTTACGAGAGGCAACATGGTTACGCTGCGTACACCGGGCACTTCAACTTCAGACACAAGAGCCTTCATAACTTTTATAGGAAAGTTTTAAGACGTCAGGTGTATCAAAGGGGCTCCAAATATCTATTTAATCTTACAAACGGCATTCGTTGCGAGGTTAAGCAAACTGAGTCTCAACACCAATTTTTCGCTTTTTTGAAATAGACACAATTACGTAAATAAGGTAATTCCCTTCAATTTATCGAAAAAATGGAAATCCTAATTTGTAGGGTACACTCAGAGATGAGTACGTCTCATCACCCAAACAACAAAAAATGTCGTTTGTAATAAGACCTATATGTAACTCCGAAAATTGTATTTCTATCTATACTGTTTTTTTTTAATTTGTTGGATCTGGATTGACGATTATTGATGTTTAAGATCCATAGCCAGGAGGGCAGCGGGCAAGGGCGCACGCACCTGACTCGAGCGAGTGCGTGGAGGAGGCGAGGTTGAAGTCGGACTTTGCGCGCGAGAGCGGCTTGAGCGGGCTGGCGGCCTCGTTGATGCAGCGCACGTCGAGGCACGACGCGTCCATGGACTTGGTCTTGCGCAGCTGCGACGCCAGCGACAGCCGGTCCTCGTCCTCGTCCGCGTCGGGGCTGCGCGGGCTGGCGTACGCGTCCTCGTCCGACCAGAAGTTGACGTGCTGCGCACACGCGCGCGCCGCGCCCCGCCCTGCCGTCAGACACGTCGGGAAGGAGATCGTGCTCACGGCGGGGTAGCGAGGGACAGAGAGGGGGCGAGAGAGAGAGAGAGAGAGAGAGAGAGAGAGAGAGAGAGAGAGAGAGAGAGAGAGAGAGAGAGAAAAGGCGAGAGACAATACGGGGTGAGAGAGGAAAATAGAAAAAAAGATAAAACTAGAAATAAGGAGAGTGAAATAGTCAATGAAATAGAAACAGAAAAGGGAAAGTAAAATAGGAGAGAGTAAGAGAGGGAAAGAGAGGGAAAGAGAGGGAAAGAGAGGGAAAGAGAGGGAAAGAGAGGGAAAGAGAGGGAAAGAGAGCGAGAGAGGGGAGATATGAACCAAACTCCAACCAACTAATTATTTATTTTTATACATATTGAACTGTAAAAACGGTAAAAATAAGAACGCGACAATCGTATACGACTGGAATTACAAAAAGTTTTATCATTCCAGTTTACGATTTAAACACTTTATTTCGTTTCAACTCTTATATTTGAAAGAGTAAATACTCTAATTTCTCTATCACAATTTACAACATACGATGTTACAGCACATAACATACGTTTTATAATTGTAAGGAAGTTTTCAACTGGAGCTTTTTAAAATTTAAAGTGCACATTCATTCAATGGCCCTTAAAATTCCCAGAACTTATAGGAATCATCAAGATAGTTCCCCCTCGTATGATTCTTTTGCCTAAAGAGTTAATAAAATGGTGTCTTATCTCTTATCGTAACCCTTTTTACGAATTAATTTGTCGCAAGAGAGGCGAATGTCAGTGAAGAACAAATAGTAGGAAGTAGGGCATTCTGTGTGTTCAAATGAAAATTACTCATAACTCATTTAAAAAGTTTGTTGGCATAAGATGCGTTGAAAATAATGCTTCCGACGGACTCAAGGGCATTTGATGATAATTATTTATGCCGGATCTTGAAACCTTGTCATAAACTTGAGCTGGGGCAGCCAAGCGTGAACTCTGCCTTAAAATTGTTCGCTGCCAAGAAAGTACTTTAAATCTGTCCAAAGCATTTCATTATAAAGACGTTTTATATTAATCACGTAGACCTAAGCCCGGGGCTCCGTCATGAACTTGGACATACGTTGTGAAGCGGCTTTGGCCAGCAATTTAGAATTCAGTGCATTGATGCAACTCAAAGACATTTCATGCTAATCATAAAGCTATACTGCCAGGTCCTTACCGTGAACTTGGACACAGGTAGCGAAGCGTCCACTCCGCCTTAAATTTTAAGATTATTAAAAAGACGCCATTCCCCTAGCGGCTACGTATTTTTTTGCCACGTTCTCGCAGGAGCGAGACGATTCCTTCACCTGAGATGCAATAAGAAGTATGAGCCAACTATCCCGCTATTTGTTCTTCACCGTCAATTTCCTCTCTCACGACAAGTTATTTCGTGAAAGGGGGTTACGATAAGGGATAAGACTCCATTTTGATAACTCTTTAGCAGAAAGAATCCTATAGGTGGAACCATCTCGACGATTCGTATACGTTCTGCAAGTTTTAAGGGTCATTGAATAATTGTGCAAGATATGTATGCGTTATAAAATGTGACAAGGTTCCAGTTGAACAGTCCCTCACACGTATAAAACATATGTTATGTACTACAAAATCGTATGTTGTAAATTTTGTTGAAGGAATTTACGTGTTTACTCTTTGAAATATAAGAGTTGAAAAATAAGACTTGTTGCTATTCATCCGACGAGTCGAGAGAACCTACCCTGAGGCGGCCGGTGAGCACGGACTGGACGCCGTCGGGCAGGAACTCGCGCGTGCCGGCCACGTCCTGCCAGCCGTCCAGGTGGCGCTGCAGGCTGGAGCTGCCCAGCGAGTGGTAGGCCAGGTAGTGCTTGGCCAGCGAGCACTGCCGCTCCAGCACGAAGCCGTAGCGCCGCCGCTCCTGCGTCATGGCCTGCGCCAGGCGCGCGCTCTTGCAGCTCTTGCAGCAGCCGCGCGCTCTTTCGCAAAATTCAAATAATTTCCCCCCTTTTTTAAGCCAGTTAGTGAAAAACATCATTCATTCTTTAGCCATCTTTAGCATCATTCACTCTGTTTATATCTAATTAGATAGCTTATTGTATGCATATATTATGTTGTCTTAAAACCAAGCGCGCGCTCTTGCAGCAGTTGCGCGCTCTTGCACCAATCGTGCGCTCTTGCACCAAGCGCGCGACCGGCGCAGCGCGAGGTCGGGGATCTCAGGATCCCCCAGAGCGCACAGCTGCTGGGTGTCTTTCTGACTATTTAATATTTATCCAAATACCGTACGAGAGTTGCGACCTAACGCCACCAAACCCAAGGATAAAATGACGGCTCTTAACGGCCAGCGTCTGTTACGTGTTTTGACGGTCCCCGTCCGTTAACGACAATGAAAACAAGATGTAGCTAAAGATTGCGAACGATTACTACAATTTCAAAGATAGGTATTTATGATACAGACAAAGTGACATTTTATTTTGTGAGTAGGAAAGGTGGGTGAAACGACGCCCAAAGGCAGAATCAAGATGCAAAATAAAATTACTTTTAACACGTGTGTCATGCACTACATTCTAGACAGTCTTACTGACTTTTTTGTCAATTTTTCATTTCTGTTCTTTTTGTTATATTTTGTGTTCTTTTTCACATTTTTGTCTTTTTGGTTATTTTTGTCCTTCCGGTTGACGAAAGTATTTTGTTTTCCTTGTCACGTTCACAGATTTATCAAAGCACTTGTGCATCGTCTCACTTTAAGCTCTCGTGCTAAGAATTGTACCTAAGCACTCTGCGCATGCCCTGAAAGACCCGCTTTTCGAAGTGGCTGCCGAAAAAAGTAATTCTTATTTATATGATTTTTCTTGTAAGAAGATGGAATTAGGGCAAGTATTGAATGGCACAGAGCCGATATTCAAATAACGTAATTATTTACTTACAAACTTCGAATATTGCCTCGATTTACAAACATCAACCGCGTTCATTTGCCCTATATCGTTCTAATGATGTTAACACCCTTATATTCACGTGCAAGTGAGTGCACGCACGCGAGTGTAAAGCGCAGCTTATTCAGTGTTCACCGTATTGTTGGTCTCCGTAGTCAATTGAAGGAGTATTTACTACTGCTACAATGCGTTTTAAACTGCAGATACAGTCATAATTTGCTTTATCGATTGAATATCTTTTGTAATTTGTCGTTCGTTGAATGCGATGTAGTAGTATTTTAGTAGAGGATTAGTATGTTAGAGCGAAAATTACGGCGGACCATGGAAATGTGAGGTACTACATCTTTCAAAATATAGTTTCAAAATAAAGTTTGTGAATATGTACCAGAAAAAGTGTTAATTTAATAAACAACCGACAATAAATGTGAAATATTATTGAAAGCATTTCGCTGTTGCGATAATTTTGAAATATTTTAATTGTGCGCAAATACGCCACGCGTATCCTAATGACATTTTAGACACATACGAATACAGGTTTATTCGTCGAATAATACGGCAAATATTTCGATGTTTTCATTGGACGATTTTTTCCGAGTTGGCGAGGATATTCACTTTAAATAAGCGAGCGACTATATTGCGTGACCATCCATCTTTAAGAGGATGAACATAAAATAGAAATTCACCACTGTTGAGCAAGTAGTAGAATGCAATTAGCACCAAAAGAGCAACGTGTATACCAACACATCTGCGGTAGATATCAAGGAACTTCGAATCCCTACGAGAGGATACTCACAGCTGTTAAAACTCCACAGCAGCTCACCCGCTACTGTGAATAACTGGCAGTGCTCATTCAAATTTTTTTATTTACATTTCGTTAATAAGTCAAATGTGTGAACCATGCAATGAATATATTATTAAAATTAAATTATCAAAAACCCACTATGTTCTTCTGGATCGTAAAGAACGTCATATTGTTATATTGATTATGAGATTGGGAAAAAATATTTTCTAGAAAAATAGTTTTTCTGAAATGTTTTGTTGTACTTACTGTCTTTAGACTCTGCTCACAGAAGTCGTCCAACTTGGTTTTTTCTTCCTCAAGCACCTGCATATTCTGTCATAGAAAATTGAATTTTTATAGAAATCACTTAACAATTAATGCTAGTCTAGGTATTGGATACAAGGCAATTTATAAAAAGCAGGGAAATATTATTCCTTATTATTTCTACTAAATACACAAATGACATTAAAGAATAATTGTATAAGAAATTTGTTAGGCCTGAAATAATTAAGGAAAATAAACTTCTAATCATAAAATGAAAGAAGAAATATAAAATTATTCGATTCACGAAACACTTTTGGCAGTAATTTTTGGCGTCTGAAATTAATATTTCCTTATCAATTTAAAAAAAATCGGTAATGGTATTTACTGTTGAAGTAATCACTAGGCCATTTCAAACATATTTGTATAATGTGAACATTACTTATATGAATACGGTATATTTTCTATTTAATTACGAAGAACTTGTATTCTGGTTACAACATTTACTGTAAAAAAATCCAAGCATTTGTGTTGAAAATAATCTAGTTCAATACATGTAAATTAGTTTATACGTGCTTTAGAAACGCAACTCTTGATACCGTGTAACAAAAGTTTGGACAAACGTTTCATACAAACGTTACATCGGGTACGCAGAACGAGCCATAAAGTGAGAAGAACACAAAACACAAATGTTTGATCATCAGATCTGAATTGACGAAGTCGCTAAGGCTGTAGATCCTTAGCTGCCTCATCTTGGAGGGTCGCAGGTTCGAATACCGTCCCGGGCATGTATGTTCGTTTGGGTCCATATGCGAGTTCCTCAACCGTTATAAAAACAAAGTTATTGCAGTGGTCGCTCTATGGCCTTAGTAGCTGAAAAGCGACCTTAAATAAGTAAAAAAAGAATGAAACACGTTTGACCCGACTGTATATTTTTAAAAAAGGTCCACCTGACCTTGAGCTCCTTGTCCATGGCGATGCCGGTCTTGGAGGCGCCCTTGCTCTTCTTGCGCTGCTTCTTCATGATGGCCGCCGCCTTGCTGTACGTCTCGTAGCGCTGCTTGTGCTGCTGCAGGAAGCGCTTCTGCTCGCTCTGCAACAAAGGACGGTCGCCGTTCGCTGCCTCGCGGAGGTCGTTTGCCGCCGCTGGAACTGCGCCCGGGCGGAGTGGCATCTCTTTACAACCCTGAGTTTTGATTGTTTTAGACCCAAAATCGCCTGCAACGTCACTGACCACGTACCACATGACTTCAGTATTAAGAAGACTTGTTAATTCGCTTTGTAACTGTCAATAAAATTCATATTGAGAAAAATATATTCTTCTCTGATTGTTGTCCGCAAATAATTTTCTTGATATTACTGCAAGAACTACCTTACTGGTTTTCTGCCTATTTTTACAATTATTTTTCTGCTAAATAATTACTAATTAAAATTGATTATACGAGTATAATTAAGTTGTGTTTCTTTTATTTTATAAAAATACTTATTAGCAGTATTTATAATTTCACGGTTACAAAAAATCATATTGTAACAAAACTACAATAAGTAATTATAGTACAAATATTTTCTTGTGTATTTTAAGTTATAAGTATTGATCTATAAATTGAACAATAATTAGATCCAATGAAGAAACTAAAATATATTAATTAAATGAAGATTTTTCTAACATTTTAGCTAAATATTTTACTTAATAAGAAAGAAAAACAGTATTCAATAGTAAAGCTAAGCTATTTTAGCATCAATAGTTTGTCTTGTCAGTTTCGTAAGGTGTTATATGCTTAAAAACTGCAAACATTTGTAAACATGCAAAAAAATAAAAAAAATACTTCTAAATAGAATGTGTTTAAAATATTTGAAAAGTAGTAGTTATATGTAGTCTGAGGAAGACAATATTAGAATTACGATCTCAAAATTTTTCTCTTTCAAAGGACAGCAGTAAAACGTATAAGAGAGCATATCTTATTCCAGAAAAATGTAAATGCCAGTAAAAACATAGTTGACGAATTGCTTGACAAAGTACTCGTCTTCCATGTCATCAACTTTCTACAAACAGCATATATGAGAATGTCCCTCTTACTTATGAATGTATTCATGGGCCAGAAGTTCAGCTCAAGATATTCAACATTCGAATGCGGATACATTTGGCAGAAAATGTTGTGGATTTAATATAACTAATGGAATGGAAATTTTTTTGTGGCAGGATCGCGGACACGAGGAATGTCTTGCTTAGGGTGAGGATGGGGACGGGGGATGGTCAGCACGCGCGACGGAGGGAGGGAAGGGTCAACGTTGCCCCGAGGCCTTCAGTAAATCAAAGGGATTTGTGTCCAGGGGGTTCCTGCCTCCCCTGGAAAGGGAGCCGCTGCCCAGCAGCGCGCCCTAGCCGTGGATCACCGAATTTTCCGCAGGTCCGCCCGCCATAATTCAACTGCTGCCTCTATCCATCCATCTTGCAAACTGCTACTGCTTTGCGGGACACCGTTTGGGGCGAATATTTGGTCTAAGTTTAGAAATTTATAATTAACAAATTTTTGCACATAAATTTTAAAATCCAAATTATTGTATGGTTCACTAGTAAGTTTTATAGTTTATTCCTCCGGCTAAAGATGTTTTTGTAACCTAACGTGTCGTAATATATCTACATTGACAGTTACTTCCCGAAAGCAAGTTATATTGGGTGAATTACAATCGTGAAATTATAACATCTGCAATATATCATCGACTTGCCTGAAACTTTAAGTTTAAATTTAATTTAATTTGTTAAATTGTGCTCAATTTAACTTTTAGCTAAATTTTAACTGTATTATTCATAATTATAAATGTTCGTATTCTAAAGCTATGATTTGTATGATCTGTCACTCGACGAATATAGGGAGTGAATCAGTGAGACAGTTTTTCCTATATTTGAGGAAAGTTTTCCCTATCTCTCTCCGTACACATACTAACTACAAACCTTGTACAATTGTACGATCTAACTAAACAAAAATTCTGACTAATCGAGTTAATTTAATTTGTGTGTAGTATTATTTTCCTTCTCGTGCGAAATTTAATTTTCATCGGTGAATTGTGAATCTTATTTTGATCCGGAATTGAAGTAAAACTAGAACTGTTTGTAACGAAGATGAAACGTACCGGTGCAGATATGGCTATCACGCATTGATTTTTTTAAAGCGAGGGTGTTAAAAGCACTGGAATGGTCTCTCCACTTTAACGCGAATATGAAAGACAGAAGAAATACAAGAGTTTGTTTTCCGGAAATTGGCAAAATTACAGGAAGAAGCGAAAACAGTTTGTAGCAATATCCGTCCAGTAGTGAAAAATGGTGACGTCTACCCGGTCACGCCGTCTAGAAGAAAGGGAACGTTAATTTCGTAGACTGGTCCTTCGCAAATAAATTCATCTGGATGAATGCTGCCTTTACAGTCTGCAGCAATAAGAGAAAGCTCCGGGCAAACAGAAAATGAGAAATGGGAGCAAGGTTTTAATTCTGCAAATATATCACAAATTTGATGTAAAAGTTTGCACAGAAAAGAGGACGATTTCCACCCAGATGAAATGGGGGCAAAGTATTGATGATTAACATTGACACAAAACTCACCTGAACTACTTTCGTATCCTTTTCCAAGTTTGTTTCCAAAGGCAAAAGTAGATCCACATAGAAAGCTTTGAGCTGAAACAATAGAAAATGAAATACTGACAAATATATTTACACTTAGAAACATCAGCAGTAATAAAAACTCCCTGATGAACATATGCATACCAATGTACCAAGTTTCTCTGATTTTCTTTCTTCCCTGTTAAACTTATTTTGTTGGCATAAATTGATGAGGATTTTAAAACTTTTGAAAATTCCACAGGTTACTAAAAATATATACTTTATAATTATAACATTTCAGTAATAATATTGAAAACATAAGTAATTCTCCCGCAACTTTTCTTCAACGATGACATTGCTTCCTCTTCTCTAGTACAATAAACAGTTGAAGACAAAAGCTGGCTGCGAGCACTGATGACAACATTCTAAACACATCTTTAGTGCCCTGAAATAGAATCTATTTTCTGTTGAAGACGACAACTGTCCGTTATTTTCTCCAAAAAAATCTAACGAAATGTTTCCGAAGATGGTAAAGGTTCATCACAGAAGATACCTCCAACTGCAGAGAAACTTAGAACGCAAATTATAGCGGACGTAGCGAAGGCATGACAGATCTTCCAAATAATGGCATTGCTTCATGAAATTAGTGGCTGATTAATTAACTAATATCCCCACTCTACCCTCATTTCTTCAATCCATCGTTCAAGAAAGTTGCGCGAGTAATATCATAACTTGCTCTTGTATGTGTCTATTAATAAACAAGTACATATGAAATTAGGAACAGCTCTGAAGCAAACCTGACTAAACAGCATCTTTTCTACCAGACTACTTCGAAGTAAAAAGTTTAGATTTTTGTTCGAAATAAACAATTTCTATTAAAATGTAAATAATTTACCTATATTTAAATAATAATTCATGGCAACACTCAAAATGATGTTAAACATGTGGGAGACACAATACAAGTTATTATATTCTAAACCACACACATAAAAGGCCAATACAATCATTCAATATTCAGTTCTAGAGTTTTGATTACACAGCACTATTAATAACATCTTTGTTGCATTGCAATATTTGAAAATTTATAAAGACTATAATGCAATTACGGTATTACGCGTAAGTCAAAATGAAAGGAATGATAAAACATTAGTTTTTTTACTGCGTTTAGCGACGACATTTTAGAACGCAATTTAACAGGAAAATAATTCCAATTTGGTGTGCTGAACTGAAATCTGCAAACCATATGTTAGTTTAACGTTTGATTTTCTATGTTGACAAAACTATTAAATCGAATAGAATTTTTGTTACTCTTCCGCAAACATAATAATATTATTGGATCTAAGAAACTGGTGCGAACAACGCTTTGGTTCCGCGAAAGAAAACGTAGACCACAGAAGTTGTATTTTATCCCAATTTGAAATGTTTTATTTTCAGTGCTAAATCTGTGTAAATTGTGAACTCATGGTAAAAATATGTCATAATTAAAAATATGTCTATGTATATAATATATTGACCACGAATATTTATTTCTATTTAAAATTCGTTTATGTTCTGTTTAATAGGCTTTATTAACAAATCTGTTTTCTTCATGAATATCTCTATGCTATTTTTAAATTGGGCAATGCATAAATTAAATCAGTTTGGAATAAAAACGCTTCTTCCTTTTTTACGTTCACTTATCACTCTGCCAGCGACGTTTCCGTTTTCAAATGACCTCCTGCCCACCCCACAGCTTGAGTGGCCATGAGCGCTGCGATAAGAGCACGAATACGACTGCTGCCCGAGCGGGCCAAACCGTGTCCGCCATCGTCTACTTATTCATCGCAATACGCCCTGAGGAAGGTCGCAGAATGGCAACCAAAACGTCGGCACCTTCGCCATGGACGCGGCGTCACCGGGCAGCCTAGTAAATACTATTATTCATCAATGCTGCTCCATTATCAGCGCCATCCATTGTTTTTTTTTTAAAGATTATGAGCGCGTGAACGGCTAAAGATACAGGTCCCGAAAGTGTAGTACGTGTTTTCATCACGGGAGGTGACGGTTATCTTGTATGGATGGTGAGATCCGGCGCCAACTTCCATCGGCTTTTTCCAACCAGGTATCTCCAACGGCGTGGCACCACCCCAATCGCGAGAAGCTCTAAGCTCCCAAGTGGTCTTCCCGCATGTGTGGTAGTGAAGTGCCTATTAGTGTAAGTGTGTGTGTGTGTGTGTGTGTGTGTGTGAGGGGTGAGAACAAGGAAAGGAAGAGGAAAGAAAGATCGCACGCTGTCCCTGGACAGTTTGTTAGTGCACTGCTCTGGCATTCTCCTGATGTTAATTGATGAAACCACGAAAAACTAGATTAGAGCAGCCGATCGCTAGAATTCTCTTCAACGACTGAATCAACGCCCTCGGCATAACGACAATCTGAGATATATAAAATTTAAAATCCGCAACGAGGGTAGACACAAAGGCGTGACCATAAAATAAATAAACCACACCAAAACTCTCCACGTGCGCATTTATATCCTGCGAAGAAAAGGAAAGAAAGAAATGTTTTTAGTAAAAACAGAAACGTGATGATTGTGTCACATTGATACGCTTGTTGGCGTTAGAGCGTGTTAATATTTTGTTACTTCTACACCGTGTTTTATTTTTTATATGATAACTATACTCTTAATTCATTTATTATTAATTAATTTATGGTCGCATTAACAGCTAGATTTTTAGGCAATGTACTATAATATCACAATAATCCGCAGATAAATACCACTATCCATCATCCTTGCCAGAGTGTTTCGCAGATGAATGGTTGAAAATCCGAGGGCTCCGGAGTTGCGTCGCAAGAGGCGCGCCTCGTCGCGGTCTCTCGCAGGTGTTTCGTGTTCCGTGGGTTCGCGGGGGCGGATTACCCGGGTGACGGAGGGCCCGAGACGGCGCGGTGACCCCGGGCGCCCGCCGGCAGTAAATCGCCCGATCCCCCACGACGCTAGCCGAGGTGACGCGCGGCGCTGGGGTGAGGGGGTGGAGCCGGGCGGCGCCGGGCGGCGCGGGGTAGGAATGGGAAGGGAGGGGCGATGCGGGGGTGGAGTAGCGCCAGTTGAGGTGGGGCGGGGTGGGAACGTGGAGGGGCGGGGATTCGGGCGGGGTTGAGAAGAGGAAGTGCGCGTAGCTCGCGGGAGGGGCGGGGGCGAGGCGCGAGGGAGGGGCAGGCCGGCGGGGCCGGGCGGGGCAATCAGGGCTGGGTGGGGGCGCCGCGGAGGGGGCCGCGGTGGGCGCCGGGTGGGAGCCGGGTGGTGCGGTGGGTGACCGCAATGGGGACGGTTATGGGGGTCTCAGGTGGGGCCGTAGGTGGGGCTGGGTGGGCGCCCGAGGTGGGCAAGGTGTGGAAACTATAGAAAACGTTACCGTACCGGACGGAGTAGGGGAGGCCGGTGAGGGGCTCTGGTGGGGCCGGTGGGTCCGGTGGGCCGGGTGGGGCCGGTGGGGGGCCGGTGGGGCCGGGTGGGGCCGGGCCTTATCTGGGGCCCTGTTGGGGCGGGTGGGGCCCGGCTCGGGTCGTCCCGGTGGGCTGCCCGGGTGGTGTCACGGGTGGGGTCCGGGTGGGGTCGGGGTGGGAAGGACGGGACGGGGCGTGTGGAGACAGGGCGGGGCGGGACGGGGCGGGACGGGGCGGGGCGGGACGGGGCGGGACGGGGCGGGACGGGGCGGGACGGGCGGCGCACGGTTGGGCCACCCCCCGGGGAAAAAAAAAAAAATATAAAGACCGGATTGTACAGGGGGCGCGGTAAAAAAAGCGGGGCGGGATACGGGCGGGACGGGGCCCGCGGACGGTGGGAGCGGATAGACGGGGCGGGACGTGCACATACGCTCGAGGCGGATGATCGCGGGGGGGAACGGGGCGGGACCGGGGCGGGACGGGGGCACGCTGCCAGAGCCATATCAGACGAGTGCAGTCGTACGGGACGGGGCGGGACGGGGCGGACGGGGCGGGTGGGGCGGGTGGGGACAAGGCGGGACAGATGCGCGCGCGGACAAATATGGCGAGGAAATACAGGGGGTCAGTGCCATAACAGCAGGCGCGGCGAACGGCACGAGTTGCTCGTAATCTCCCCAGGACAATACAGCGGAAAAACACCCGCGTTGGATAGACATCGGCTGCGACCGACGGATCTCACACGGGCGGGGAACACGTGCGCGGAACCAGGGCGGGACAGGGCGGGGAACCGGGCGGGACGCGGGCGGGACCGGCGGGACCGGGTGGGGCGGGGAGAGGGAGGGGACAGGTGGGCGACGCGCGGCTTTCGCGCAGTGTGACCTGGCGCCCGGAGCGAGACCGCCCGGCCCCCTGGGAGGCCCCGCACTCCTCCACCTGCCTCAGACGCGACGCACTGTGCGGACTTCACCTCAGGGGAAGCGTGCCAACGCAGCCGCTACAAGTTGGAACTTACGTCGGGCAACTTCAGTGTATGGCAGCATAACGTTAAGTCAACCTTTCTCAGTGTTTTTCAGCCTTTCTCAATAACATGTTTAATATCTGATATGACTATTGTATTTTTTTTATTAATTAATGCATATTCTGTTATATTAATAGATAATCTAATACATAAAATCCAATTTGTGTTCGTATTTTATGCGCTGCCGTCGCACGTAGACGTGCGTTCATGATTGTATGCGTTCATGCTCATTCAAGCGTCCCTGGAAAGAAGCTGGACGCAACCCGCCGCACCGTCACGTCTTAAGCGCGTCTTCGCTGCATATTCTGCCCCTGCGATGGTGATGTATCGGCTGAAATTATTACTTGAACGTTATATCGGATAAGTAAATCAAATTTCTCCAAGAAAGTGTCATAGTGAATGCATGCTGAAACTTGAGAGTGAACGTTTTAACAATAGGATACGTAACAACAATGTCCAAGTCAGGTCATAGAACACATTCATACTCGCGAGAAAGTCTTTTATCTCTTAAAATGTTTGCAAAACAACGTAAAACATGATTAACAATCACATGACCAAGCGTGTGAAGAGGAATACATTTCAGTAGTGAATCATTGCCATGTCCACCAGGATACTATAAAATAACAATAATCCGTAGGCAAACAACAATATATTAGCTTTCTCACACTATTATCTAATTATTATGTTATTTGTAACCGCATGGCGTGATGGTTATTTTTTAGCCATTTTCATCACGTGGGATTCTTTGCAGTATTGTTAGCATAAAAAAGTACGTTACTATTTTCAAGTGCGCGCAAAAATTGAAAGAAAACCACGCCGCCTCTGGCCATATCATGTGCGTTCATGCTTTTCTTTGATACCCAGAAACTCGAGAAAAATACAGATACAATGATATAGTTTCCATTTAACTAAAAAATGTTAATAATTTATTGTGTGATTCCGCCTATTCTCATTCTGCTTGCGCCGACTGCATTCTTAAACTGAATATGTACCTACTTTCGTCAAAGCAGACGTCATGAAATAGTAATGGATCAAAGAAAAGGTCATCTGCCATTAAATTTTTGCTTCCACGTGTTGCGTTATGGAAAAGCATTTTTTATTCACTAGGTTTATAAAGAGCTGATGCACTAAATGTACAGGTAAGTCACCTAATATAACTTTAGCACTTAATATAACTTTTAAACGGTTGAAGTCCTTGCAATCCTGCTTTCAAGTAAGTGCATGAGGGAATCGGGCTAATTGATACGTGTATTCATTTCTACTTTATCCCTTGTGTTTTACGAGACATTTCAAGTAACTTTGATTTTTAAGTGGAACTATATATTTTTTTTTGTTTCAGAGTATCATGGCGAACGTAAAAAGACAAATCCAATGACATACATATTGTCATATGTTAGATAAGATTTTCTTGAATATTTTTTATTTGTTTCGCAACTAGTGTTTGAAGTATATTTTGAATGTAACAGTCCACCACAAAAGGTCCCGAAGCGCTCCCTCTGATAGCGCGCGATCGGGGCAGGGAAGCATCTTAGTATTTTAAGATACGAAACACATTCCAAATATTCACGAAACTGTTACAGTTTTTTCCCTGAACTCTGCTTTTATCCTTCTACATTTTCATTTTGTTATTATTTAAGGATTGAAAATACGGAGTGGTCATAAGTAGTATGTATTGAAATTAGATTATTTTAACTTCATTTAAAAGGGGAGTCATTTTTTCTATCGAGTCTGTACAAATTCCCAGTTTGTTACTGTTACTTTTTATTTAGTTTCTTATTCTTCTATCATCGTTTACATGTTATGTCAAATGATAGAACAAATACTCTTGTGAAAAAAATTGTATAGTCGATAAACTGAATACCAATGTATTAGTATTGATGAATACATTCTTTGTACTTTAACAGACAGTTCGTTGTAAGGATAGTGAACTACTATATTTGGTTTTTACGTTCCTCAGACCCATTTCAATGAAGGCAGCACGTATTGTGAGGGAACGAAATAGTTTTATTTACTTTGGTATTGTTAGTAACACCCAGGCAGTTTTGTACGTGTGTGATGTTCTCTACTCGACCCGTGGGGAAATATCAAACGTGTTGTATTTCTAGTATTTAAAATTAAATTGTATTATAATGTCAGTTATTGGCATAGATTTATAGGAAAACCAGTTTTATACTCAGACGCCGTAAAGAATCTTTTGTATGAAATATTTTCCTAATTTTTTAATCCTTTATAAGAATATCTGTATACACTCGTAGATATATTTAAATAAACACACACATGTGTGTATTTTATAAGTACTCCTTTATAATGTACGAAAGGTAATTATACACCTGTTGATTTACAGCCAACGGGGTGCTTGAGGTCAGCGCGCCGGATCAGTTACTCCGTCAACTGGGATATCCGCCCCCACCTCACCCCCACGAACCCGCGGAGACAAGGGAACACCTGCGAGGGACCGAAACCAGACGCAGCTCTTGCGCCTCAACAGATTTATCGTCAACTGCTTGTACATTCGAGAGGACTGGGAGCGCCCCTGATGGATGCAACCTTCTGCGACCGTCGGCAGATGGATCTTTGGAACAACATGAAGCTTGTATTTAGAGAATACTATTATGACTAGGCTGATTGTACAATATCGTTTTTATACTCTTATTCTGATGCTCAAGTTCCGTAAGTCGATTTCTTGCCCGACACGTTTATGTTCCAATTGCAAAAGATAATAGCAGAGAAAGTGGATTATAAAAAAACGAGATTTAAAAAAATGTCTGATAAAAAATGTAAATGTTTATGTAATACGTATTTAAGGGAAACATGTTTATGAACAGAAAATGTTGTCAAACATGTGCTTCATGGGTTACGGAATCCTTCCGATTCGCACATTGTGTTCTCTGCTTTACCGGAGAGCCATCAGAGCGCGTCGGCTCTGCCTGTCGCTCAGGCTCTCTTTGCTACTAGCTTTCGCCCGCGATGTTGTCTCAGGGGTCTCCGTCCTTGTCGTTCCTTCGCCTCGACCAACCCACGGCCGCTCTGCCCCCTGCCGCCCGGCCTTGCCCTGCTCTCCTCGCCCCGCTTCGCGTCACTCCGCCCCCCCCCCGCCTCTCGCCGGCTGAGATGGCTCGGGCTGAAGTCACTGGAGCTTGTCCGATCGGGTGGCGATTCTAGTGTTCGAGTCCTGTGATGGATGCTCCATACAGGCTGTGTACTAGATGAGAGAATTCGACTTGCATTCATAAGCAGTTTTCCGTAATTTCTATTATCAATACCAATCGATTACCGAATCGATACTTTAAAAACGGGCGATGGACAGCAGGAATCATTTTATCTCCCTGTCCCCTGCCGCCTGCCCTTCTATCGTTCTATCTCCTTCCCTGACCATTCTTCTCCCCTTACCCATGCACATACTAAATTCACAACCCTACCACGGATTGTCACAAGATTTCTGTTGAGATTTTTGATTGATTGATTGATTGATTACTGATTCTGGGCCCATCAACTGCTACGGTCATTAGTTGCAATGCATGTTTTTCCTCTTTTGATCGTTTTTCAATCTTTCGATCTCCTTCCCGGACCCTTCTTCTCCCCTTACTCACACACACACACACTAAATTCACAACACTACCACACATGTCAGAAGATTGCTGGTGAGATATTTGATCGATTGATTACTTAGTGATTCCTGGCGCGTCAACTACTACGGTCATTAGTTGCAATGCATGTTTTTCCTCTGGACGTGACGTGATCTTCCTTCGTTAGTCGGTGAGATCCGGCATCGACCTACTGTCGGCTAGCAGGGATTTCCCCAACCAGATATCTCTTACCAGTTGGGCCCGTTCCAGCTAGGACAAGCTGTAAGCTTCCAAAAGATCTCCCGGCATGTGTGCTACTGTAGTGCATGTAGATGTGTGTGTGTGTGTATAAGGGGCGAAGATAGGGCAATGAAGAGGAATAAAATATCGCGCGCGGTATGTACTCTGTTTGTTAAGGTACTGCTCTGGAATTCGCCTGCTATTGATGGGAGAAACCACGGAAAAACTACCAATCACAGAAGCGGGCCGCTAGAATTGTCCTAAAGACATCGACTAAATTCGACCTAGATATCTAGCTAGTGTCAAAAACCCTACCACACTGTCGCCACTTGAACCTACGGCTTACCAGAAAGAGACACTGCACTTACATCAATTGATGCCCTGAGCCACCTTTCGCGGGTTGGTGACGAGCGTTGAGTGAGTCCCGGTTGAGGCGGTGCCCCTTTAGGGGCGATACCTGGCGTAGCGATACGAGGAAATTGGCGCTGGACACCATGCACTCACTTAAGGGATGAAAGAGTCCTTATCAGTTGACTCGTTGGAAAACACGAAATAATTAACAATCAATCACACTGCCTCTCCACGTAATGCATCGCATCGCACCATCCCCCCTCCCCGCTGCGCCTGTCCACCCAGCTGTCCTCGTCTTCTCGCTCCGGCTCGCTCAGCTGTTTCGCCCTCACTCGTCCCCGCTCCCGCGTCCCTCCGCCGCAACTGCGTCTCCCCGCTGTGCGCAATTCCCCGCTCTCCTCGACACCGCCCCGCTTGGCGAGTCAGGCGAAGTCGTGCGGCCACCCCGACGCGCGCAAACTCGTTACTGAGCGAGGCGCTGCTCTTCGCCGTCCGCGCTGCGCAACCTTTCCTGCGCCGCTGCTCTCACGGCTGTGCGAAGCGAACGAGATTTTCCGCTGCGGTCCAGCGAGTCATAAACAGGACACGTACAGCAGAGAAATATACAACAGAGAAATATACAGCAATTTTTTTTACTACAGGGATCTCGATCACGGATTCTTTTACCAATACCAATACCAATACATTTCTTTCATACGACTCAAATATGAATTCTTTTACCAATATCAATAATTTTCTTTTATACGACTCAAATATGCATTCTTTTACCAATACCAATAGCTTTCTATTATACGACCCCAAAATGAATAAAAGTAAAAACATTTTATGTTAATTTCACTCTATGTGCTACTGACATTTTCAATATAATTTCACATAATATTCTTATTATTAAGTATGCAATTGAGGGGATTTATTAAATGTTACAAAAATTATAGTAAAACACTTACTATGTTGATTTGCTGATTCTGGATATCTTTGTACACTTCTACAACCTGGTTTAGAGCGGATCCTGAAACATAAATATACATTTCATCTTATAAATTTACGTTTAGAACGTCACAATCAAGGGTTGTCAAAATCATATCTTTGCGTAATGCTATCTTGCGTAATGTATGTATGTAATTTTGCACAACAGCTCTTTACGAGCTGAGGCCTACCAGCAGTGTCCTACATATATTGTGTAATACGAAGTAGTAAGCCTACACTAATTTGATAATTTGGTTAATAGTCTGCGTAGTAATAGTACTCAGTTCAATTACTATTCATTCGTCACATGGCATTCGTTTTAAAATTTACGAAAAGCTTCCAATACAAAATTGCATATTCATTTAAAAAACCTTTCTGAAGAAAATGATTTCGACCACAACAACTTCTGCTTCAAAATGAATTTTTAGTATTTTTTTCACGAATGTAATTTACTTTTATGAATTTGCTTTTATCTTGTAAAAATGATTAACTATGAGTGTAAACTCAGTTTTCTCTCAACATCAGCCTTTCACCTCTTCCTTCGGTTGTTCAACATCATTACTGAAGGCAAATTATTATCCCTTTCAAAGGGTGCTTGACGCCGAACGACAAGGAGAGGGCCGAGGGGATGTCACATCCTACAAAACTGAAATGTGCTTCAAAAGGTTGAAATGAACTGAAGAGCTGTAACCGTGCGTATAGAAGAAAGCTTTCATCAACCATATTTATAATTCAAGAAGTACTTTCTACTGATGATTCAAATAAGAATTTTCTACGAAGCAAAATTATTATTTCTCAACTAGCGGGGAATTTGGTTTGACTATGATCTCCGCCGCTCGGTCTATCTTCTGCTCTACATCAGAGCTTCTATTATCGGCAGAGAAGAGCATAAACTCGCACTACTGTTTCCGCTGCCAACCGTCGACAGATACTGAATTTGTGTTAATAACATGTTTTTAGTTCCTTTTTGTAGTACAACTATCTATAATGCTAATAATGGGCGAAAGATGTGCAGATACAATAATGTTTTTAACAGACATTGAAATCATTTCCAAATTATTTTCCTAAAATCCCTAGCCTTATTGTCTGATAGCGAAACAAGTTTTAACGCGGGACTGAATTTCCCATTTCAGTAACGTGAATATTAATTTTATTGACAAAAGTACTTCGTTTTTTCCAAAAGTTTTTCTTATTTGTTTCTCAACAAAAATATTTTAAACATGAAATTGGATTCAGCAACTCATAAGTAGCATGTCCCGTCACATTATTTGCCATATCTGAGAATTTTGTTTCCTTCTTCCCATGCGGTCCAATGTCGCCCCCTTCCAACCCTTGTGGCGGCGCATCACCTGTTCGTGCAAATCCGGTGAAGCGTGAGTGTGTGTGTGTGTGGTGGTGGGGGGGAGCGATCTATGGGCGCGAGTGGCCGCGCGGCCGGTGCCACCGCAAACACGCAACGGCGCTCTCGCAGCCCAGTCCGCGTCAACGCCGCTCCCCCCTCCCTCGTTGCGTTCGAACCCCGGCAGCCACCTTCTCTCTGCTGTGCTAAGTTTACACGGGGTGGCACATGTACAAGGTAGAGATAATGTACTACTTTGGTGTAATTTTTATTTTCTTATTATTTTCTTGTTATTTGCTTGTTATTTTCTCATTATTTACTTATTATTTACTTACTTTCTTAATGCTAAAAACTATTCGCTGTGGGTATGAATACCAGTTTACTTACCACTTACCACGATTAATGTTCAAAGAATACGGCGAGTATGAAGAACACAACAATATTAAGATAATGTTCGAAAAGTATTGAAGATTCTTAAGTGGTTGTCAGTTTTTTTACCAGCAGTTATTATTTTCATGACTCATTTGCTACTTTTATGACACATATGCAGAAATAGGAGTAAGCTCTAAAACAATACTACCCGAATTATTTCTTGATATTCCTTTGATATCTTTTTATATCCGTATCTGAATTCTAGCACACAATGAGCATGATCGAAAAGCAGCCTTGGCTTAATGTACTTAGCTTCGTTAGATTTAGTGTCACAAAAAAGTAAGAGTCTTAATTAGATTTAACAGAAATTTCATGCCATATCAAATGACTCTTCGTCGGGGAATTTATTAAAGCATACAAAACATTTAAAAATAAGTAAGTGACTTTTTAAATTAGAAAGATATAAGGTAAATAAGGTAATGATTCTACTTCGTATCAACATTATTTTGTAGAATAACATAGTCCAGTTCTACCACTCCCTTAAACGCCTTCATTGGTGAGCGAACAATCTATACTTCCATGCTTGCCGTAGCGAAGCAGCTATGTGGTTCGGATTTATTCGGTGTGGTTCGATACTGTGCGATGGATACTGCACAATGAGGCCTTTAGGTAGCACCGCTAAGAGAAACTTGTTGCGCAGGTTGATTATTCACGAAACGTGCGGACTGGCGGTGCTTCCGTTCGTGGGACAATGGGACGTGCTTTTCCCAACTCACAGCAGACAGACTTTCTTACCGGCATCTCCGTACACTTCCACCCACTTTATCGGAATAAATGTTGCTCTTCTCTCATTTCTAAACTCTCATTGCTAAGCCAAAACAATGTTGTTTTATTATTAAAAATATTAGTGTCTGTGTTAGATATTTCTCTCAATTATTTCTTGAAAATGAAATTAGTGCAACTACAATATAGCCCTTTTTAATTTGTTGTTAACTTTCGTGGGAAGAATTACAGGGGAACTCAAAGATAAGAAGATAAAATATTGAAATTCATTAAAACGCACTGAAAGAAAAATGAAATATTTATGTCACGAATAGCTGACGACTGCGTCGAACGAACGACGACTGTTGCCTCACGGGAAGGCCTCTCGACACCCTTTTAATCGAGGCACGCGCATGGGGCCGTGCCCGAACCCACAGGCCTTCATCGCCCCCGGGAGGCAGCTGCCGAACGTGCTTCAGTTCTCGAACAGACGCGCTCTCCGTCTGGAGACTTCGCGGGCGATTAAGAGCAATCCTCCTGCTATTTTATGAACAGCCAGGTCTCGGAGAACAGTTGTCTTAGAATAAATGATAGAAACTTCTACTAGGAGAGGTAAGCGGTCGAAGATTATCACCTTTTGCCAATAAACCCACAATTTGCCCTGGAGCCTCCCTCCCGCAGGAAATGCACTCGCCGCACCCACTCTTACGACTGCCGAGTGGTCCTCGATCCTTAGGCGGAGCGTGAGCGGCCACATAGCGCCAGCCGACCACACCCTTGTGTGCATGATACATTAACCCACACGCCCACCATCACTTACAGGTGGCTGCACAGGAATGCAGAAATCGCACTTATATCATCACTGTCTTGGAATCAGAAGCACAGATTCCGGTAAAAGTAATTGTTTGAAATTTTTCAATTTGATCGCGGTGTTCTATCAAAGTAACTTTATGCACATTTCTGTAACTAGGAGCGCCGATGTAGTCTCTGCAGGATATTTGCATCATTTGCTAAAATCAATGTACTACAATTCTGACGAAAAATCTGACAAGATTGGGCACGATTGCGTAGTCACGCGAGGTAGGAATGTTGAAACGTGGACCCCCTAAAACGCAAATCCACAATCTCGGTTTTTGGCTCGTATCCTAGAAAAGATTAATTAATCGACAACACTAAGAAATATCCTCAACTCTTCGATAGGCGTTAAGCACGTTCTCTTGGTCAATACAGAAGAAGAAAAAAAATCAAGAAGCTCGTGAGTTTTAGTAACGAAGAGTTTCTCAGCAAAATGACGAAAGAAACATTTGTTCATTCAGTTGAGGAGAAGAGGAGATTTGGAAATATCCTCATAATTTTCCCTTGTAAAAGTAAAAACTGCCACAATAATTGAAGAAACTGCAAAGACACGCACGCGGCCGCATGGCAATAAAGGCGCACTTAGCCACCCAGAAGCACGCCGCCGGGAGGCGACGCCCGAAGAGACGCCGGCTGGAGAGGGCCGCGCCGCGGCGGATGTGCCGGCGGAGGAAGAGGGGCGCGCCGGCGCGGGGGCGGCGCAGGATGCCCGCAGCACAAACAGCGCAAATTGCGTTTCCCTAAAAGCTCCCCACGCGCCACGCCGCGGCCTCTTCATAAACATTTTAATATCGGAGCGCCAAACGCCGCCGCGAGCCTCGCACAAAGAGCGTCCACACGCGAGGCACGGCCGCGCACCGGCGACGGCTGTCGCCCAATATCACACTCGGCGCACCGCCACTGGGCCCCCGCGCCCCCTAAGCAGCCCCG